ATTTTATATTTTACTTTTTTCATACCTACGACAAATATACATATATTGAAATTTTATAATTCGTTTTATTTAAAAAATGTTAGAAAACAAGCTTGTAATCCTGTAATTGACATAATTGTTGTGTAATATATTCCATTTAAATGTAATATATTACTTTACAATTAAAAAATGTAAATTTAAAAATTTAAAAAAGGCATTAATTGAAATTTTTTGAGTGCGAACAAACACGAGAGGCGCTTTATTATTTACTTTCATTTCTTAACATGACAGATGAATTTCTAAAAGGGGATGTTTTGTGTTTCTATCGAATAAAGTAGAAATAGCACAGAGAGTGCCATTTAAAAATCAAAATTTGTATTCACTTCCAGTGAAACAGTAGGTGGCCAAAAACAATTGAATATAATAATAATAATAATAGACCTCAGAATGAGGTTTCTAAGATTTCTGTAATTTTCCAAGTTCTCTGGTGTGTTGTTTTTCTTATAGTTCAAAAGAGCTTTATCACGTTTGCCCATTAATAGTTTTAAAGCTGGAGTTAGCCAAGGCGCGGGCGGCTTAGTTACACGAACTGTTCTTAAAGGAACATGCAGTTCGAATAAGGATTTTAATTGAAAAGTGAGAAAATCGACTTTTTTCATCGATATCTGTCATATAGTAAATGCTGTGCCATGGTACATTATGCAAATCACTATAGAATAAGACCTCATGAAATTGCTTGTAGTCTCGAAATGTAACAAATTTTAGAGGATTTTCTTGTATAGGTAACTTCATATTACAATATGTTAGTCTATGATCGCTTATATGCTGAGCATCAAGGGTACCACCAGACGCCACAATACTAGAGTCACTGACAAAAATCGGGTCGAGCAGGGAAGATCGACTATTGGAAACTCTAGTAGGTTCATCTATAACTTGAACAAAACCAAATGTATCAAAGAAATCCGATATTGGGTTTGATATATTATTGGAACACAAAAGATCAATGTTTAAATCACCCAAAACTGTAATATAGGTACATGAAGACAACATGTCTGGTAGAAATTTATCTAGAGCTTGAACACAATTCAAAACACTCATCTTAGTTCTGTAAATGACGCCTAATCCAAGACATATCCTATGGTTAATTTTAATCTTTAACCAGATATTCTCAAACCCATCCACCTGATCCTGTAAGTAAAGTCTTTCACACTTGTAGACATTTTTTACATATATCCCAACACCTCCACCTCTACCAGTCAAGCGATCGCAGCGATGGAACGTGTAACCCGGAACAACACAAGAGTCAGACGCAATATGAGCACCTAGCCATGTCTCTGTTGTTGCTACAACATCAAAATTATGTTGTGTCACAATATCTGAAAAGTAATGAAATCCTGCGAAAAGAGATCTTACATTCAAATGACCAAGCCTAAACATAATTTATCTTTGATTTAAGAAGGCCCACTTTAGATTTATAAAAATTACAAATACGATCACTGGCCGAATGATCCATATCCCAATTTGTTTTGTATTTTTCATTGTGGAATTTACAGTTAGGGCAACATTTATTTATATCTGTAGTACAATTCTTACTGATATGATCACCTGCACAAAATTGACAAACAGGTTTATTTCGACAGTTTTTACTTAAGTGGCCGAATCTACAACAATTGAAACAACGGACTATATTAAAATGTTCACATACTTGGCACTTTATCCATCCAATATAAACATATCCTTTGTTCATTAGCGAACAGTAAACAGATGGAGACACATTTAATATAACATTAAGAGAAAATTTCAATGTAAAGATCTTAACCACTTTTATGTTGTTTTCATCTTCTTCAAGTTTATTATCGTAAATTAATGATTTTATAAAACTATCGATAAGTACATCGGACGCATTGCCGGTACTACCATCACTATTTAAGTAGCTAGAAGGAACACCCTTTATCATAATTGTTGGATTTATTTTCTTTTGATCATAAACTTGATATTTCTCACCAATTGTGTTTACAAGATTTTGTTTTAATATATTAAGGTCATCCTTATCTTTACAAGCAATTAAAAATCCGTTTTTGTAACTTCTCGTATTTTTAATTTCAATATTTACTGCGCCCGGAGAACATTTCGATTTTATATCATATTCAATTTTATTTGGAGACACATTACTATCGACAGATTTAATAATTAAATAGGGCGAATTATTTGTTTTCACTATATCACTATAAGAAATGGTTGGAATGTTCGAATGTTTTTGTTCCATTCTTGTTATCATACCTTCGCCGACGGCCAAGGTCCCGTACTTAGATTCCATATCTCCCATTCTTTTCTTTAACACTTGGATCGTATACTCTCTCTCGGCAGCTATCGTATTAATTAATTCTTTTTCTCTTGATAAGCAGTCAATTTCCTTACGCAAAATTGTACACTCGTTAGAATTATTTTCTACAGTAGTAGAACCTAGTCTTGTTCTTCGAGGCCCCTCACAGCACACACGACAACGCCAATTTTTCGAATCCACCATAAACCATTTCGAGACGTTTTCAAAACATTTTCTATGAACGAAAACACTACATGCCTGTGTCGAACACTTCAAACTACGTTTATCTACAGTTTCACAACAAATCTTGCACTTAATCTTATCGTTTTTATCGGGCTCTTTAGGCTCCTCAGACATCGCGTCCGACTCGCCCAACATCGCGCTTATTCTTTATTATTCTATATGTCAATCAATCCTAATTTCTGTCATACACTAATCTTGTTCTTTTTATATATAATAATAGCAGCTCCCGTATTAACGCCTTGGGAGTAGCAAGGTACAGCTTGCTATGCTAGAGCCGTTCGGTATACAAGGAAGGTAATGTGGTTAGCACTACGCTTCAACCGCCTATTATTACCTCAGGATTGTGAATCCCAAGTACTAATTTAAGGCTGAGTCGACCTAGGTACCCAAACTATTTTTATTTTAATAAAAATAGTCGGGTGATAAAATGCCGGGTGTGAGAATCGAACCGACACCTTGAGATTGGTAGACGAGAGCCTGTACCTCTACGCCACCGGGCATACGTTTTTTATTATCTAAAAAATTAAAAGATGAGCCACTTGCGAGATGCACCCGGTATAACTTAAGCTAGTTCTGTACTAGAATCGGTTCGAATACATTTATTTTTATTTTCGACGTGTTTAATAACGTGTAAAACTTCAAATTTTAAAGGAACGTTTCTGCAATGCGATAAAGTTCAATGATTCCGGCCTTACGCGATTCTGATGCAAGTAGAGAATAGAAATGCGCAATTCTGAAAACGGGGAAAGAAAGAAAAGTACGGGATACGCTGACGTTTAGAATTCAATGTACCGTGACTTCGGCTAAAAGTTATTCAGTCAGGCAAGAGTTTCTTTCTTTAATGTGTTTTCACTTTTTGTTTTCTAATGAATTTTAAACTAACGGGGACTGTTTAGAATTAGTATTATTTATCAGAAAATTATTTACATATCTGACAGACAAAAACTGGTTTTGCAAAAAGTATCATTAATTGTAATTATTACTCTTGCCACCATTGAAGATTTAGACAGAATATCGTGAATTGTATATCGGGCATAATATTTATTTATTTATAGTTAAAAATGGTTATATTTATATTACAGTACCACTAAAGAAATTTAAGTATCCCATTTAGTAAAGCACAGAATTTTAATTCAAGAAATGACATATGTATTGAAAATATTTTCTATTTCATAATACAAGTAAATAGCTGTTGAACATATAAGAATTATTTAAATTTACTAAATAAAACGTTTTAAATCATATGAAAAGTAACATTAATCGATTATTTTTGATAGGAGGTGATTCTTTTTTAAGGAGGTGATTCTAGGACCTATTCTAAGAAAAAAACTTCATATGAATATACGTCCTAAACATCTTAACTTTTTAGATACATGGTGGTATCATTTTTTTTTTCTTGAAAATATCTCTGATGGTATATTTGATACACGTATTCCATGCATCAAAATGCTTATTTTGATATACAAAAAAGGGTTTTATTTCTTAATTTCCTTCCAGCCGATGAAGAAATGATTTCCACACAACAGTCTGAACAACATCTGAAATAAACTAACATTTTTTAAGCGAAAAATATGCTTCGGACAAAAAAAAATCAGGAGATTAAAAATGTTTTGAAATGAATAAATATTTTTAAAATAATTTTTATTTCAAGAGAAGTCAGTGGTGTACCACTTTTTTCTCAAAAATTATTCAACGTAAAACCCGTATGGACGGTACTGATTGAAGTAAATAAAATTCTTTGTACACCAAAAATTATTATATATTGATGCATAGAAGACGTGTATCAAGTTTCATAAAAATATCTGTAATAAAATTAGAGTTATTATTAAAAAAAAATTAAGGAAAATTTACCACCCTGCATCTCAGATATTAAGATGTTTAACACATACATTCATAGTATTTCAAGTTTTTCTCTTAGGATAGGTTCAAGAATCACTCCATTAACTATTAGCATGTCATTAAGGAACACCCTGTATATGTTTTTGCTTTTCTACACAAATACAGCTGTTCTGAATTTTGTTTCAATATTTGTATTTTAATTTCGAACAGTTCATGGTAACTAAACTACATTAGTCTATATTTTTCTTACTAACCCTTTTTTAACTATCATCTACAACTAATGGTGAATATTTCACTTTGGTGAACATTTGTAGCACATTCTCTGATACTAGCTAAATCATACTGTTGTCTTGCGTTTTAATATAAAAGAAAAATCTTAACTTTCGAATTAATTACTACTATATACTACATGTGTGTGTATTAATTAATCTAATAAGATTTTTAGTAACATAACTGATATTTTTTTGTAACTGATAGTTTTGTTATTAAATCATTATTTTAATTTATATATTTTTGATTCGAAACATTGATTCGGATTTTTTCGGTCACATGTGTTTGTCACATGTGCGCGTCACACTTGTATTTCAACAAAATATAATTTCACATTAAATTCCAGGTGGAAATGAGAGGTTTAACCGGCGTGATTAAATTCGATCATCAAGGATTCCGAACGGATTTTATGCTGGACGTCATCGAATTAACCAGAGACGGACTAAAGAAGATTGGAACGTGGAACTCGAGCGAAGGTGTGAATTTCACTAGAACGTACGGAGAGGCATACACACAAATCGTCGAAATTATACAGAACAAAACGTTTGTAGTCACTACTATATTGGTAAGTTTAGTTATATTATGTGGAAACAAAATCATTTCCGCCACTATAGTCGAATATTTTTAATTGAAGATTTACTTTAATTGACTTAACTATCAATTATAAATTGGTAATATTTTGACTTTCTCCGTAAAACGCTTGTGTTGATGGACTAAGTTATACAGGGTTGTTCACCACATACGACACGGAGTATTGTAGCCAAACAATTAGATTTTTGCAAATTATAAGTTTTGGGTTCGTTGAAGGACTATTGGAGCTACAATTTGAAAATATTTTTATAAGATACAGAGTGTCACAAATAAAAAAAATATCAAAGTTGTATTTTTTTAAATAGATCATCCTGTATATTATTACATTTTTAGTTTCTGCGATTAAAATAAAGGTAAATTTGATTAAGTTTAATTTAATGCTTCATTTGTCTAGGCGTATTTATGTTTATAAAACCAAATATTGTACTGAAGTATTTCTATTTACTACATTTTGTGTTGCAATAATAAAAATTATACTACCTTATACAGAGTGTCTAAAATGTATTTTAAATAATTACTAGCTTTAAAAGGCAATAACTTGTTTAATTTAAATGCAAGACCCTGTATATTTTATGAGAATCAGACACAAAATTTAATTGTCTATCAAATTGTATTATATCATGTTTTACTTATATCTATACTATCTATACTATTCAAGTTTTTGTAGAAAACGCATTTTCTTATAATTTAGACCTCATTTATCAATATACCCATGGAATATTGACATTTTAGATTATTTTTAAGGATGTAACAAATTTTTAAAAAGTACAGATACTAATATTGTAGATATAGTTCTTTTTTTTCAGTTACATATTTATTATTTAAGTGCGTCTGATCCTCATAAAATATACAGGGTGTTTCAGTTAAAATAAGCAAGTTATTGCCGCTTAAAGCTAATAATTATTTAAAATAAATTTTACACTCTGTATGAGGTAGTATTATTTTTACTATTGAAACACAATAACTGATCAATAAATAAATTTCAGTAAATATTTAGTATAAAAAACTTTGATACCCTTGGAGAAATGAAGCCTTAAAATTTTTACTGCAATTTCACAAAATTGAGATTATTTCAAAAAATGGTAAGGTTTAAGTGTGATAAACCTTAATCAAATTTACCTTCACTTTAATCGTAGTTTAAAAATGTAATAATATGCATGGTGTTCCATTTAAAATAACTTTGATATTTTTTATTTATTTGGGACAATTTTTTTAAATTGTAGCTCTAATTGAGAATAGACCTACAACGAACCCAAAACGTTTTTTTTTTGTAAAAAACACTACAACCCATACGAGAAACTGGCAACGCCAAGTACTTTTTTAATAAAATTAAAAAGTATAATTAGTTAGTGCACGATTCGGAATCCAAACTGGAAAGTCCACAGTCGTTTACAACGTGAAAATTGAAGTAAAACCTAGCTGGAAGTTGAGTAGTTTCAGTCGTAGAAAAGCAACAAGTTAAAAAGACCGGCAACGTTTCCATTACCTCGGGCTGCTTGCTCACGACCGACTTTTTACAGACCGCCGGAACAAGAAAAAAGGAAATGGATTCCGTCTTTGCCGTTCCAATTTAACCGTTTGTATGGTTCATGATTGAATCATACTGACAGAGGGCTTTTATATGCCAACGATATCGGAGAAATGTATTGGTTTATTTGTTAATAAGAAAAATTTAAAAATTGATCTAAAATATCAATATTGGGGAATAAGTAAATAGCTCCTATACATTTCTGTGCCCTAGAAACAAACTATGTAAAGTCCAAAATTGGTATATTTGAGATGTACAGGGTGTCTCAATATTCCGTGGACATAGAACTACTACGTATTTTTAGAATCAAAATAAGTTCAATGGACACAATTTACCTCTATACAAAAGTTCTAAACAGTTCTTAAAATATCTGAAATATACGTTTATTTCTTTAAAATTTGATGTTCTCTATTGTCCACTAAATGTCTACAAGGTATAGGTTTAATATCAAATTTAGTATAATTATACCAGGCAGGAAAGAAGGTATTAATGGTACGCTCGTTCACACTGATTCAGCCTGATACACATATATGGCTTAAAAACGCCAGAAGGCGTAGGAACTGGAATATTACACTTACAAGTATTATTGGGTACACGGAATAGCTTTTTTCGTAAGCCTATCCAAGGATGTCTATTTTCCAGTGAGAAATAACGGCAATCCACACACACATTATTTTGATCAATTGCCATTTTTACAGACAGCCAAACAGCGCCACGGTATTTGGTTCCACAGGGTTAATCCTAGACTAGAGTGGTTTGCATGCTGTAAATACAGAATTCTTGCGTGGCACTGCAAAAGCAGTCCTAAAAATGGTCACAAAACCGTGGGTGGCCAACAAATCTCTAGGATGGGAGAGAAATTCATCAGCGCAGAGCCAGGAAAACAATTTATAGTAGAACATTTGCCAAAATTTACGGCAGACCTGATAAGCAAAGACAGAAAGTCTGTAAAATCTGTAGTAGGTCTATTAACAGGCCATTGTCAACTTAATAGGCAAACAAATCTGATGGGATGTTGTCAATCTGAAGAACAAACGACAGGGGACTTTCATGTTAGTTGGACAGTCTGGCAAATATGCAGTTCTTTCTTTTACACAATTTGAAGCTATTGAGGGTTCAGTTTCCAAGTTACTAGATTGTTTGAGAAGAATAGGACAGGAGATATAACTTAGAAATAAGAAGAAAAATACAATAAATCCTAATTTCAAAAACTTAATGAAATCTAATCTAATTGTTACTCGACTCGGGGTTCTTTTTATCTCCAAGGCTATAAGATAAACACGTGTTTGTTATTAAACATTTTCTAGCTAACAATATCAATAAATCCTTTTTCTTGGTTTATGTATTTGTTGAATTTTGTTCTTTATTTTTTATTTTTCTAGCTATTGGTATTGCGGCCGTTATCTATGTTGGCTAATTTTGTAGCTTTAAGCTCCCGTTTGTTCCTTATGTTCTTTTGTCCATGTTAAAATTGTAATATCTATAAATTTTGACAAACAAATTTGTTGTCTTAGTTGCAAAACCTAGTAGTTTTATGGGTTTCACATACAAGACACGGACCAATTTGCATCTTATTGTCTCTAACTAGTACCTTTACCTTTGAAGCCTATTTAGCGAGGAAAACTTGGAAATTTCTGGAAAGAGTTCGTATACTGGTTCTTTCCGTCATTACTACAAGTTATATAACATATATTTAACAGATTATTATAAAATCAATCGAAAAAATTAATTAATTTAAAATGACACCAAATAAAGCAAAATAATTAAATAATATGATAACTATTTTACTTACCGGGAGCGTAGCGGCACGGAGTACCGCAACTTCTGTGGTTGCCGGGTTTACGGCAGAATTGCTACTGAACCAAAATCGCTGGATAGGCAACTACTACGATCCAGGATGTCAAATATCCCTAAATAAGCATATTTAATGGCCGACTGACCGACCTACGTTCAATGGATATTTTGTTTTAATGAAATTAGTAAAATTGCGGTAAAAAATCCCGGACGCGCCCGCTCGTGTGTTAAAGACACTGAAGTTTAAATTTCAGACACTTTTATATCATCTTTATACTCAATAATGAAAATAATGTACATTGGTTCATCAATTAAACGTCGATACAAAATATATACATTTTTTATATAAAATAAAGTAGAGAACTAAGAAGGAAAACAAATCAAACATATAAAAAATAGATACAATAGAAAGAATTATAAAATATATATACAAATCAACATACAATAAAATAAAAAGACATCACTCGTTTTATCAACAATACCAAGGTGAATAAAAATTCAAGTTAAAAAGACACCAAATTATAAAATATTATAAACACTTGTAACGTTTTTAGTTCGTTACATGTCTTTTTTATATATAATATATGATGTCTGGCCTATCATCACCGGATTCCCTCTCGTTCAGGCCTGATAGTTTATTTGACGCGTAATTTTTACGTTCCCTAGTCGCCAACCCTGTTATCGTTCGACACAACCCTGTTATTGCTCTGAGGAGGCGCTGTCAACATCGCTTCTGTCAACTCTCCGTGCTTAACCTCACTTTGTTTTGACGCTCTGTTGTATCCCAGCTTTTAGAAATGGTGATTATTTAAATCTTGCTGTATAATCTGAATCAGCTGCTATTTCAAAGCAACAGGGTAGAGTTATGGATGTCCCAACTTGTATTTGTATTTTGCTGACACGTTGGCGTCCCTTTTCTTTTGTCCTCCAGAATGTCACATGGAAGAAAGGACATGTTGTTTATTATTTATTGAGCCCTCGGAAGTATTTCGAGTGTCCAAGGTACGGACTGCGTCCAAGGTACGGACTGTGTCCAAGGTACGGACTGTGTCCAAGGTACGGACTATTTCCAAGATACGGACTGTGTCCAAGGTACGGACTGTGTCCAAGGTACGGGTAGTGTCTTATGTACAGACATTATCTTATGTACAGATGTCCTGTGGACGAGTGTCCCCAGTAAGAACGATTTTTTCTTACATCTAAGCGCCACAGCGTGGATGTAGCTTGAGTCCCATGCTGCTTCACTCCCATTTCTAAGCCTAGTCAGTAGCTACGGCTGTAAGGATTCATGGTGTCCTCAATCTGGCCCCTTTTGTTGTTTTGACCAACAGGATCGGCGACAGACAGTACAGAGATGCTAGACCACCTCACGCTGCTACTGTTTGAAGCAAGGTTACATAAAAGAACAGCTAAGTGTATATTTAAGTTCTAGTTTTACATTTAACATCTAAAACATTTTCAGTCTTAAACAATAACGTACATCTTAAGTAATATCGTACAGACTATGTTCAGTGGTTAGATTGTTAAGAACATTCAATTCGATATAATCTTTAAAATATAATTTAGATCTTAGGTTTCATTGCATTACGTTTTGTAATGGTATTACTTTTATAGATATTATTGCACTATTTTAATAGATGGATAATTAAACATAGATTCTAGAATCTACAGGTTGTAACATCTTCGATTTAGCATCATATGGAATATATCAAATTAATTAAAGTAATGCTACATTTCATATTTTCTCTTAAACTGTACATGTCCTGAATTTTATCGTAGTTGTTTTCATTGATATTTAGTACGACTCTTACCACCACTTTCTTTGACATATAACCACTATATATTTACTAGAACTCTACAATATCATGTATCAGCAAAGAACGTCATGAATAAATATAGTCATTAGTTTTAAGTATTATACAACTGTGTTTTCTTTCTCTGTACATGCCTGGCGCCCAATATCTATATATCTTTTGTTAATTATTACTGATTAATTTTCTCTCTAGTGAAATACCTTATCCACGACTGCTCTCCAATGAAAAGCTGCCATTCGCAGTGGTAGTGGTTTAATAAACGCTACACACTCTTTTATGTGACTAGGATTGCTTAGCGAATGATATAAACTCTTGAATTTAGTAGAAACCATTCTCGAGTAAGTAGGTATCTTTTTACTGTGCCAGCAAATTTGTTGCCTCTCAATGAGCGCAACTTCAAAGGATGTGGTTTTATTTTAACTTTGTGTTATGAAAGAATTAAATTATTTAATCCTATTTTATTATTATTTTTTAAAATATAGAACCAAAATTCAGCTTGCACGATACATATTTCGAATACCATTCTTTCTCATTTCAGACTCTATAACGTTACATTTTCGACATAAAAAAGAAAGAAAAGAATGTTACGGCAACGACTGAAACATCAACTCGTAATGTGTCTGACCGAAAAGAATAAACAATAGAAAAAGAAATTCCGCACCAAAAAATGAAATGTTTTCCGAAACAAGGGTAAATCGCCGGAAGGTGGAAATGCCATTTTTGGGATGGGATTTTGCGTTCTCGCTTCTTTTTGTTTGTTTTTCTCTACGTGCATGTGTATAAGTGTTTTTTTCCGTGGTATAGAAATTAATGGTGCGTTTTATGCTGCTCCAGATTCTGTGATGGGGAGTCGTTTCCTTGTTTTCTTTTTTAATTTCTAACGTACGTATTCCGACAAAAATCATTTTTTATTTTAGACTTTTTTAATACAAAGATGTATTAATCTATTAACTGACCTAATAATTGTATTTTTTTAGACATTATAGTCTACCTTATTCTCGAGAATAATTGGGTAAATTAACTTCCTTGTTCTAGAATCTCATAAAAACGGAAAGCAACTCTACACATCTAAGACTACTGCCATTGACTTCTAGTAACGTTATATATGATTAATTTTAATGATATTTGAAGTTACTAGCTCGTCAGAGGTTAATGGATACTTAGTAACGGCTATGTCTAATAATGTTGATATACTAGTAATAGTATATCAATATTAGTAATAGTTTTATTTTAGCTATTCTTGGAAATATAAAACACTAAATCACCACAATACACCAAAATACTTTTACTTTTACACTGGACGCGCGTTTCGCTAACCATGTCAGCATCATCAGCAGATGATTAAAACTAAACTAATATCAATGCCAATTGTTGGCAATTGTTGGGAAAGTTGGCATTTGCCAATTGTTGGCAAAGGTTCCAACCAACAAATGTAATTAACTATCCTTTCCAAATGTAATAAATTATATTTAAAGGTTTAAGTTTATAAAGAGTGTCCCAAAAATAAGTGCAAGTATTTTAAGGGGTGGTAACTCTCAATAAAATAAATATATTGTCTCTTTATCATTTTTCAAACAAGACCAAAATAACGTTATTCTGCTTTGAAAATTTCCAAAAAAAAAAATTTTTTGCTAAAATTTTGGGAACCACTGGATCTTTTCTGGATTTTCTTTCTTTTAAATTTAATGTAATATCTATGTTGCCATATTATCAAGAAATTATGTTTTTTAACTAAAAACTAAAAAAAATTCCAAAAAATCTTTCAAAAAATTTCGAATTTTCAAAATTTTTTTTTCGCGAAAAAAATAATTCATAGGCGTGTTTCTGAGGTTGAACTATACTACTAGTTAAAATACTTGCACTTATTTCTACACTCTGTATAACTGTAAAATGCCGTAAAATCAAATAAGAATATTGCAAGAAAATGCAAAATATATGCATGGAATGGATTGTAGGAGGATACAGAAATTATACAGGGTGGTCCGAACTGTATTCCGGAAACTTCGGCAGCATATTCTGCAGATTAAAATAAGTAACAAAGTTCGTATGTTGTAAATGTAATGTATGTCCTAAAATGCTTCGTTTTGTTTCGATACAGGGTGTAGAAGTTTCATTTTTATTTCGATTTTTTCCAAATAATTTCTGAACTAACGTAGATCTTTGAATGAAAATTGGTATCTGGGAGTTTTATCACATAAGAAATTTGATTTTGATGTCAATATGATGTCACCTACATATTTTTTAACTGGTTTGAAGAGTAATAACTTTTATCCGTACCTGTATAAAACTAGTGAGTAAAAAAATATACATTTACGATGTTTTTTACTTAAAAAGGATCTCTTGGTAAAAATCGCTATAAGTAATGGTTCTCGAGATATTTGGAATCAAAATTATTAATACCTGTCATCATTGACATAAATAAAACATGTTGACTATAAATAGTTATTAGACTGAAATCATAAATTTGAAATGTATTTATGACAAAAAGTCAACAGAAACTGTTTTAGTTTGGTTTGGTTTTTGAAGAAAAATTACGATTAATTTAAAAAAAAATAAAAAGTTTCTAAACTTATCATTTCAGTTAAATAACTATCAACACAACATGTTTATTTTTAGTCAATAAATTCCATTCTAAATATCTTGAGAACGGTTGCTCGTAGCGATTTTAATAGAGAGATATTTTTTACGTATAAAATCACGGAAATGTATATTTTTTTACTCAGTAGTTTTATACAGGTACGGACGAAAAGTTATTACTCTTCAAAACAATTAAAACAAATTTAGGTGGCGTCCGCTACAATTAGGAGTATACTGACATCAAAATCAAATTTCTCGTGTCAAAAAACTCCCAGACATCAATTTTCATCCAAATAGTGACAAAATCGAAATAAAAATGAAGCATTTTAGGACATACATTTATACGAACTTTTTTCGAAGAATATACTACCGAAGTCTCCGGAACACAGTTTGGATTACCTTGTATACAAAAAAAAACTTGCCTTGCATTTTCTACCTATTTCAATAAAATTTTTAATATTCGACGTCCAACTTTACTCCAACGGCTTGCTTGAAAACCGCCGATTGATTTCCGCCTGGTCTCCGCTTTCAGAGCTCGCCGTACGTGATGCGGAAGGAAGCGAGCGAGAAGCTGAGCGGAAACGCGCAGTTCGAGGGCTACGCAGTCGATCTCATCCACGAGATATCGCGGACGCTCGGCTTTAATTACACCATCAAGCTGGCACCGGACGGACGCTACGGATCGCTCAACAGGGAGACGAAAGAATGGGACGGGATGATCAGGTAATATTAGGATAATATTTTTTAAGTTTGATTTTTTTAGTCAATCACTTGACTGAATTCTAAATTCATTACAAGAATTGCTTTTATTTTTGTTTGTTCAACGAGAAACTACAGGATGATTCATAGCGATGCACAGTGGAGTATTTTTCATATCTACAAAATCATAATTAGGAGAATCAACGTCCTACTGAAGTTTTACGATATGATACTTATATATTACTTTAATTTAACAGAATCTTTGTTGATGTGGTTATAGCAATAAAATCGGTATTAATTAATTCATAGTCAGGGCCCAATTAGTCAATACAAGTCACAGAATCATACCAACAATCTATTTATAGAATTTATGGTGTATCAATTATTTCTAATTGTTGTTATTAATAGTGCCGTAATATTAATGTTTGCTGATATATATTTCAAGTAAGTGGACATCTTAGTACAAAATATAAGATGTATTTTAGCATAAACTTATTTGTAGTTTTGACATTTTTTCTAGTGAAATATAACTCGTATGATATTGACATTCTGGTGCGCCATTTTTAATTTTCTTTACAAAACTGTTCTAGCTAAAAATTGAGATTCGACCGGATTCGGGTTGACTTAGATAGTTGATAGATATGTATCATAAACGGTCTGGCGTAGTCTGTAGGACTACTCTTTAAAATTTAAAAAAAGTTTAAAACACACACAAAAACTAAAAAATAAAAATGAAAAAAAATATATTTCATTATATATTATATTATGTATTATTGAACTAATCTAGACGCAAATGGGTTCAATTAATATAAACTTTAAGAAAATATAGTACAAAATAAAATAACATGCATAGACATTTGAAAAAAAAATCAATTAGGTTTTTATTAAGCTCTAAAATAAAAATAAAACCAAATTACTAACAGTCATTACAATATAGACATAAGTTTTTAATACTATATATAAAAAAATAAGTTATAAAACTGGACTTAAAGAAAAAGTTTTTAGTTACAGCATGAGGCAAAGTTCATTGTTTTCCTGAACATATTATTTTACATAATGGACTCGTATATTCTATAGGCATTAAAAATAATTAACTTGGATGTAACATTGTCTTTAACTAGAATAAGAACTCTAGGATAAGAATATCTCCGTAGGCGTGTTCTGGTTGTACAGGAATTGCAAGTATTCTACAAATTGTAAAGTGTATTTCTCGTGGAATATTTGACATTGCCAAACGCATTTGTCTGGCAGATTATCATATTGTCACTGTCACAGTCTTCATCATATTATTTTAATAGAGTTTCTTCATAACTAGAGTCTCCTAAACGCACTATTTTCGAAGGCCCAGCCATATTTTACAAAAGTTTGTTACACACAAAATTTTACACAAACGGTCCGGCGCGCGGCGTCGTCTGAGAGACTACGGCTTAACTAACTTCTGACGGAACTCCTAAAAAAATAATCCAGTTTGGGCATAAATATGGCTATCAGTCGTTGGCCGTGAGGGGCCCAAGTAACATTTGGACGTTATCTAACGTCGGGTATACGTTTCGTTCAATAAGCCCGACGTCGGGTACCAACGTCGGTTCGACCGCCTGACGACCCTTATTTGCACCTAAATGGGGTATACAGATTCGGGTCGCCTCGACGTCGGTATCTGACCTAATAGAAAATGTAATTCTACCAATTACCAACGTCATATATTACGTTGGATTTTAGTCACTTAAAATTCGTCGCTAAGCACTTACGTTACGTTAGGTTTCATATTCGCTACCAAGAATACATAAAAACCTAACCAAACTACCTAATTACAAATGGATTCATAATCACTCCTCGAATATAACTATGAGTGCCTATCTAATTTCATATTATAATAATTCTGAATCATTAATCCAGACATCAGTTTTGTCAACGGAAGTCACTTTCTTGATATATCTGATTAAAATACTCCGGAAAACAACGAGCGTCTTCAAAATTAGGTAGATTTATGAAATAAAAATATCTATAAAAAAGTAACTCGCAAAATATTTTTTTAATTTTCTAGCTGGTTTAATCATAAAACTGTACTGTGGTTCCCCTCAAACTCAACCTTATCATTTCTACTATTATTCTACTAGTTATACTAGAAATCGAAATGTGAATATAAATTTTAAAAACAAAAAACGATTTTAAAATGGCTGACAATCGGATACGTGTTAAGAATGGCGGATTTCTCTGTTCGACTTAATATGAACTACCAATATACCAATTCCGACCGGGTCTCCAACATTAGTCGTCTCACACGACCGAAGTCATCAAACCGGACGACCGGCAATCGTATTATGCCGTATATAATTCCAACGTACGCCACGTAACCTCACTTTGCATTTTGCGTATCAGTGATTTGTGGATTTGTGCAACTATATTTTAGTTTTTGTTTTCTCGTTAAATAAAATGGGCAGCCACTTTTTTAAGCCTAACCTCACATGTCGGAGGAGGATAGGGTCTGCCGGTAACCTAAGCTAAAATATGAAATTAAGATGCACCAGTGTAATGCAGCATCTCTTCCGGATAAAAAGCATTTACGGGTGGAGGCAAGACATCACTACTACTATTATTATTTTGCAAAAGCCTCGACCTCTTTCTGTAAAATGTAGATGAATGTCTAAATGCCTTTTTAGTGTTTTTTTAGGCATAATAAAAAATTTAAGTTTGTTTACAAAAACTTTTAATTAGGTTGTGTTCATGATGTTCATTAGGTCGCAAATGCTACTTAATGGGTTGTATTTACGAACATAAATAGAGATACGTAAATTAGGTTATAAATATGAACATAAAATACAACAAAATATAATTGGACGTTACTTTAGGGATTATTAGTGAGACGTATCCTATTCGGACAACGGGTAGACGTCGGGCTAGTTCAAGTATATGTACGTCGTGCAAGCCAACGTGGGAACGCCGTTGAGAAATTAATAAAAATGGTACGTTGTTATTTTGTACGTCGACATATCGTTGGATTTACCGACTCGGATCCAACGACGTCGCTTTTAATAGGAAAGCGACGTCACAGGTCGTATCACTAGCACCCGACCTAAATTTGCACAAAGTCTGACGTTGCTTCAGGTCAGATTTAGTTCGAAGTCAGATAGATGCTACTTGGGGGGAGGATTAGCTGGAACGCCAATCCTGTAGGAGGCCCCGGTAACTAATGAGAATGAGTTAATTATTCTCTGCATTATTTTTCATTAAAATTTAACTGCAAAGAACTGCCAGTAGCTAATATACCGGGACATTTCAGGTGCCATGTCTGTACGAAAGAAAGCACTTTAGCAGGTCTGATGCCACAAAGTCAAAGCGAAAAACTTGGCTCTCTTTCAGTATGTTGCTAAAAAATTGGCGCCGGGAGGCACGTATAGCCGCCCATACTAAAATATGTTAATAAAAAGTTGGTAGGCAGTTTTTTAGTTTCAAAGTAAAGGAATTTTTCCAATTTTGGTCCGCGGTTATTTCCCCTATCCCACCTGGGATCGTGTCCGATGGGAGTTTGTAGTTCTCCACACGGATTTTCTGAAAAACGGACTACGGAAACACGGAATATCTCAAAAACTGCGCCTTTGACTGATTTTGATGTTATTACAAATTTTGTTGCAAATATTATTCTTAATCTTAAATTGAAAACCGCGTTTCGCTAGCTATTGTAATTTTGGAGTTACGATATCTTAAAATTTTTAACCCCCTCCCATACCCCCTTTCCAACCGCCCACACCCACCAAAAACTAATGGCCAGATTCTCGGGTGCCACAGTATTTTTGTGCCAAATTTGGTTAAAATCGGTTTAGCGGTTTTTGAGTTATCGTGTTAGAGACGGACAGATGGACAGACGGACACACGGACAGACAGACAGACAGACAGTAGCATTGTTGTATTTAGGTCATTTATTACCGAAATCACTCAGTGAAATTAAAAAAAAAAATTGTCGATTTTAATAGCCTACCCTCGTGCCTACCATACCTGTTGGTATGGTCGGCTAAAAAATAAATATAGAAGATCCTGATGAACACACATACACTGAAATTGGCATAACTGCTATCGCACTTTAAAAGTGTTCGTTGTCCGCTCTGATCAGTCGCTTGATGAAGAAATAGATATTATCCCTAGTTAATGCGGTTCAAATAATATAGTTCAAGAAAATGTTGTATTTCTAAAATAATAGATTGAAACTGAATTATTATTATTTGAATTCGACTTGTAAAAATGTTCGTTAAATGATTAGTTATCATATCTAACAGATTCAGCACAAAAATATACACATATTAATTTTATACGAGCCCCTCCATGTTGGCATTATTTTTAAATCAGTCTGTACATAACGTAATATTTGATGAAAGAAACGTTTTTTTTTAAGTTTTAGAAACCAATGTGAAATCAATAGTTTTTGTTGATTATTAATTTTTAATTGCTAGATTATACACTTTACGCACTGTGCGATGGTGGATTTGGTTTTTTTGAGTTCCTATAGCGGCTCAAGCCATCATTAGTTAAAAAAAACATTCAGTATACTGTAAACAGTGTTAAAATAACAAACTTTTCATAAAATCTCTTCATCATTTAATTTTAACTGAAAAAAATTGGTGGTCCATCGTCCAGAACGCCATACGTGATACAAAAATTCACCACGCCAATTGAGGGTTAATGTCGACCTAGGGTAAAATCAAAATAAATATTTACGTTCTACAAACCCTTAAATTTTTCTGATAATTTAGATACCTATTATAGTGATTATTTCCCTCATCGTGAAATGGACCAATCAGCTAATCTAATTTTTCGAATAAATTTTGTTTAGATAAGTGATTAAATCCCAAGACCAGTTTAACCGCGATTATTTTTTCGGCTTCCTTTTGGGTTTTCTTTTTGTCGTTTATCACTAATTCTAAGAGATTTTGGCAACAGTTCATTTAAAAACATTGATTTACAACTCATATGTATGACTTAATAAGGATTTTAATCGGTGAAAACCCCTTATTCGATATTATTTTGAACAAATAAGTGGAGAAAAATACGTCAGAATTTGATATGTTGACATGCGAAACGGTCAATGCATTGTTGGGATGCGTAATCAAAGTAGCAGAAGCACAAACATTACTTACGAGACGTCATTTTGAAAAAATGTTGTCCGAAAATGTTAAATTTTATAGTTAATAAAATTCTTATAGTTATTTGCTTCATCCTAAGTCATTCGTTTCATTCTAAGTCATTCAGAAAATAATGTAGCCGTATGTCACTCAACCTATAAATTTAATTGATTAAACTACCCAAATAATTTTTTGCATGATTTTGCTTATTAGAAAATAGTTTCATGCGCAATAATTTTAGAATAAAAGTTATTGTGCCATTCAACTATTTTCCAAGCAAAATCACGCGCAAAATATATATGAATAGTTTAATCGATTAAATTTATAGGTCTCGTGATATAATATACGAATATTGTATACACAAATAAAAAATTAGGTTATAATTTGACATTTTATTAAATATTTTCAATTGCGATCCATCTTTGTATATGCTAGAAAAACCTATCCTTTAAAAATATTAATCAAGTTAATAGTATTTCTGAAGAATCGAGCTACAATTCGTAAACGATGCGGAAGGTCGACAGAGAATTGATCTAAAAATTTTGCCCGTTTCCTTAATGGTGTCCTTGTGTGTATAATATATTTTTATCAAAATCATAAAATGTCCGAATTAAAATCGATGCATTTTAATTAAATTAACTCCTTCAAACTTTGTTTCATTTGCTCCTCACAGAGAATTGATTTTGTGCCGACAGCCTTCGATTCTAATTGAAGTCATAAATTACACCGTTGGGATCGCTATTGGAGCGATAAAGAAAACAAATGTGCTTAAAAAGGCCCTAATTCCACGCTTAAACGGAGCTTATAATGTCGGCGTAAATCTCGAGAGTTTGGCGTTTTCTCAATACACCGATAAATTCGAGTAACTTGACCGCAACCAATGGTTTCTCGGCTCTGTTTTCTAATCTTATTCGGTTCTGTATAAATCCGTGTTGATGTTACGAAACATGTAAATCACTATAAAATAATATGTAAGCCCTTGCAAATATAAATGACATAATATATCATATTACAGTAAATGACATATATCTGTATAGTAAAATCATTAAGGCAATGAGAACTGTGTCGACCTATTAAGTGCATATTATTATATTTATATTTTATTCGACAAATATGTGAGTTGAATAAATAAACATTAATAAACAACGAAATGATCACAAAGGAAAATACATCAATATACGTTTAACCGAAGCATGAGTTAAACCAAATATTTATGCGTTTCTTTAAAATAAATCATATCCTCTCCAAAAAAAATCCTTTATGGGTATTTCGCCACTGCACTGCTAGAAAAATCTACAAAATAAAATAGTTATTTTTTGTAAACACTTCTGCGTTAAACCTAAACGGACACTGCTTGTCAGAAGTTATGTTTACAGTAATAAAAATTTGCCTAACAAAGAAAAAAATGCTTAACGTTTCGGAAAGTTTAAACCCAGAAACAAAGATAGTTACTTAAATTTCACATCTAATCACAGTATAAGTGTAAAAAAAGGTGTTATAAAAAAATGATAGGGCAAAAATAATATGTACAGACGACATTTCACTAAATAGAGATATAAACCAATAAACCACATAAAAAATACATTAATAAAAAACGACTATCCACCATATTTTATTGAACATCTAATCACAGTATAAGTGTAAAAAAAGGTGTTATAAAAAAATGATAGGGCAAAAATAATATGTACAGAATGGGTCAAATTCGACGCTTTTAAATGGAAACACCCTTTTCTATAGGAGATAGACAAAAATTAATATCGGTGTCTGGAGCTCAATTTTTGTCAAAAAAGTGATGGTGAAAATCGCACATCGATATCTGTTACCGTTTCGGAGTTACGGGGTGTTTTTCAAAAATATGCATTTTTAACAAATCGCTGTAACTTTTTTGCTATGGAAAATTTTATATTTTTATGAAAACATTTCCAAAGCACCTTTTTACGTAGAATTTAATGGTTTAAGTATAATTTTTTTTAAAATTAATAATTTAAGAATTATCAACAGAAAATTTTATTTTTTATATGGGACACCCTGTATATTTTTAATTAACTAAAAAGAATTTAAAATTACCTATTACTTCGAAATACAGAATTTTTAAAAGTTCGCCACTTTTAACTAGTAGGCTTTGGACCCCTCATTGATAATATGCCCATAATGGAACTCGAAAACATATTTTTCCAGCAAGACGACGCACCGCCTCTGAACGCTGAAGTTATCAGCAAATTTCTGCAGCCAATTTCAAGAATAATTGAATAGCTGACCAAAAACCCAGCCGTTGGCCGTCGTCGCCGCCTGACTTAGTACCCATGGATCTAATATTATGGATATATTTGCGGAAGAATAAAGGTTCCTTATTCTTCTGTATAATCTAGACAAGAATTAGAAATACTTAGCAGTTAGGAGAGGGTATTTTTCACCCCCACTGAGTTAATGAATTCTGCGAGAAATGTTCAAAAACTGCCCGTCTGTCCATAACAGAAGACGATCGATATGTCGAACACCTGTAGCAAAATCTCATGTCCTGGTTTGCTATTTATTTTTATTGTTATTAGATATAGTTTAAATGTGTTGATGTTGGTTAAATATATTTTAAATTGTTATAAATTTCTGCATCTCTCATAGCAAATATTATTTTCGTTTTAATTGATGCTCACAGCTAGAATTTTTTTGCATTACAGCCGGTGCCGTTCAAAGCCTACTTATTTAAAGCGGGCGAATTTTTATATACTCTATATCTCGAAGAGGAATCGAGCAAAATATCAAGTGTGTTATATTTTTGGAAAGGTAATTTTAAATTCTTTTCAATAAATTAAAAATATACAGGGTGTCCCATATAAAAAATCAATTTTTCTGTTGATAACTCTTAAATTATTAATTTTAAAAAAATTATACTAAAACAATTAAATTCTAGTTTTCGTCTATCTCCTATAGAAAAGGGAGTTTCCATTTAAAAGCGTCGAATTTGACCCACCCTGTACAGACGACATTTCACTAAATAGAGATATAAACCAATAAACCACATAAAAAATACATTAATAAAAAACGACTATCCACCATATTTTATTGACAACAGGGACAGAATAAATTTTAATAACGCCAAAATTATAATGAAAGAAGCGATAGACTCTAAAAGAAAAATAAGGGGCTTTTTTAATTCAATCTAATAAAAATAAATGTATTGCTCATGCATCTGTAGATGTTAGTAATGTATGGCAATCGCTTCTTTAATTTTAAAGAACATAACATAAATAAACATAATATATGTAAAATTTAAAAATAATCATACAGAAAGTTTTGGGTTTTTTGGTTTTACCTTATTAAATAATTGTTATCAGGTAGTAATTGTTAATTTTGATGTTAGAACGTCAACGGTTTCTTGTAGACGTATCTGTTTTAAAAAAAAGTAAAGTGTTTTCGAATAGTTGAATTTAAATATTTTAAATAGTATACGATGACGGAAGGAGATAAACTTTCCGAAACGTTAAGCATTTTTTTTTCTTTGTTAGGCAAATTGTTATTACTGTAAACATAACTTCTGACAAGCAGTGTCCGTTTAGGTTTAACGCCAGAAGTGTTTACAAAAAATAACTATTTCATTTTGTAGATTTTTCTTGCAGTGCAGTGGCGAAATACCCATAAAGGAATTTTTGTTGGAGAGATGGATCCGCCACATAGGTATAGACATTTTTTAAAAATCATATCCTCTTCAATCTCATGACAGTTAGAGTTTGTTAGCGCCAGTTTGTTTAGCCATAAATTAGTTTGAATAATAATATAGTAACATATAATTTTGTTCCTATGTCATAATGTGTGCATAAAAATATTCCCTAAACCTTTTCTACCTGACCCTAAAAGTTTTTTTTTCCAATAAATTCCAGGGAACTGCTTGACCAAAAGGCCGACCTAGCCATCGCCGACCTCACAATAACGTACGACAGGGAACAGGCCGTCGACTTCACCATGCCCTTCATGAATCTGGGCATCAGCATCCTCTACCGGAAACCGATTAAACAGCCGCCCAATCTGTTCTCCTTCCTGTCGCCCCTCTCGCTGGACGTCTGGATTTATATGGCTACCGCCTACTTGGGCGTATCGGTGCTGCTCTTTATTCTGGCCAGGTATGGATTGTGATTAAGCAGGGTTTCCTGTTCGGGCGAAAATCGGAACTAAAAGACAAGAAAAATTTGCAAAATAAAAGAATTTAAATGGATTTCTTTATTACTGGTAACATAATATGTATGTGAACTTGAAAGGAATTTGTCCAAGGAATTATTACTAAAGGGGATAAAGAATGAAATAACATTCACAGTTAATCTTTACGAAAATAAACTGTGAATGTGAATTTTATCTTTTGTGATATTTTTCACATTTTTGTTATGTTGTTGTCATGAAGTGATTCTTTTACTACTTTTAAACGTCGGTTGAGATTTTACTATAGTAGTTTTCCACGTCAAATAGGGCCTAGAGTCTCATAGATAACACATAGTCAAAATATGAACAAAATATAGCGACAATTGTGTCCCTATGTTCATTTTTTTTATAAAACAGTAATTAGTTATAACTGAAACTTTTTTACATCACACTCAACTTTTATAATAAAATTATAATAATTGTGGGTCATAAAAATTGTAATTCATTACACTCAATGATAATTCATAACGAAAATCTGGATGCCAGTACTACAATATCTCTCCGGATTGTTTTTACAAGAAGAAAAACATTTTTATTATTGGTATTTTGAGAAAAAATAATTCTTCCTAAAAATTATTGCTTGTTCTAGAATGGTTAATTCCGTTTATACTTTTCCAAATTTCTACACCGCTTTAGAGAAAATTAAGAAAAACATGAAAATATGGGTGAATTCTTTTCCTAAAAGTCCTAAAAATCAAAACGCATTTCTATGGTTATATAAATTCGATTTCATTCTTTGATAGATGGTTATTATTAAGTTTGATTAATGTCATATTCTTTCATATCTTTTGCTGTTGTCAAAGTCTCATATTTTCCGATAATTATCATCACCTTACCGTAGCATTGAACTAATTAAATTTTGTAGTTCTTTAACATTTTAAAACAGCAAAAAATATTACGTTAATTAATACGATATGAATAACAATAAATCAAAAAATGAAAACGAACTGTATGACCATAGAAACGCGTTTTAATTTTTAGAACTTTTTTTATTTTGAAATTCAACCATATTTTTCTTAATTTTCTCTAAAACGGTGTAGAAATTTTGAAAAGTATAAACGGGATTAAATGTTTTAGAACATGCAAAATTTTTTATGAAGAATGCATTTTTTCTGAAAAAGTCAATAATAAAAAAGTTAAAAGCTTTTTGAGAACCAGACTTTAAATATTCAATAAATTAAAGAATTACCGAAATACGAGGGGCCTCCTAAGATGCAATATATTTTAAATTTCACCCTCTCTTGAAATAAGGGTGAAACTCGAATTATTTAATATTTGGACCACTATGCCTCGTATGAGTAAATAAAGCAGAATATAACAAATTTGATTACGGGATTGTTATATTTACCAAAATTTAGCCGTATCCATTCTACATCTTCAAAAATAACGGATATATCCGACAAGGGCAATTATACAGACACTGTACAATAATTATTAACAAGCTATCAGGAATAAAATTTACCTTGAATTGACTAATTAGTCATAAAAATCGCAATAATATGCTTCAGAACATAAATTTTCTTACGTCAAAACTAACTGTCACAGTGACACTTGTCGTACACGGTTAAGTCGGTGTTGGTCCAGTCTATCCACATACCAAATTTCATTTAAATTGGACGATTTTTTTTTGGATTTGATGTTGTGTTATAAACACAAGGTGAAATTTCATTGTTAAAATTCCAATTTAGTCACTACCCACCTTGTTAATTTTGAATGAAATTTTAATGAGGTATAGGAAATCCAGAAACCAAGCATTGAAGGGTGCGAGACGAGCGAGAATACATCCTCCGCACTTTCTTTTTAAATCTCCATATCGAAAAACTCGTTACGAGCATGTTTCTCTGCTATTGTTATCGTTGGAAATGCAACACAGCCTTTTTGTTGGCTAAATTGGATATGCTTTCAGCTCGTTGTTTGTTTCGATATCGTTGAAATACGAAACAACAAAAACCGTTTTAAATTGCATTGTTTTGTGTTTAGAGTTTTTCAGTTTGACATTCCGTATTTTTCAGAATATAGGAAAAAATTGACTAAATATTCTATAAAACATTGATATTAGTAAATAAATTATAAATATTTATTTAAAGAGATGTCAGTTTGGAAAAATAATTTTAACTTTATTGTGTAAAAGTTATGCACTTTAAAAGAACCTAAATATTTATTTGAGTTTGCAGCAGAATTTCACTGATTAATTTTTGAACATTGTAACATATTTTTCCTGTTTTACTTAAATTGTTAGAGGATTATAAGACTTTTTTGATATAACTTCGTAGTATCATCGAGAAATTAAAAAGAACAAATAAATGTAAATCATACAATGATAAATTGTGCTATAGAGTTTAATTTAAATTTTAATAAAAATATCTGTACTGTTTATGTAAACCTCTAATATTTGATAATATCAAAATAGCACTCATAGTTTGCTTCAAAACAGCTGCAACTCGAGACGAGACGTAAAATAATATAAAACGACGGAGTGAGTGAGAGTATATATTTTGGATGTGTAGTTATAGTGAAAGAATTTTAACTAATATATAGATTAAATTATTAATAACCAGAAGAACCTGAATAATCAGAAGTAATCAGAAAAAAATACTGCCAATGACAAATATTTATTTAAGGAGATATAGAAAAATAATTCTAATTTTATTTTGTTACGCACTTTAAAAGAAACTAAATTTATATTTGAATTTGCTGTAGAATTTCACTCATTAATTTTTGAACCTTTTAACATATCTTGGAAGGAATTCTGCACCATTTCACAAACATATTTTGCCAGTTTTACTTAAAATATTAGATGATTATTGAGACTTCTTGTCTGGTGTAGCTTCGTGGAATCATCAAGAAATTAAAAATAACTAAGAAATGTAAATCGTAAAGTGACAAGTTGTGTTAAGTACAGGGCTCGAATTCTGGAACTTTGACATAAAAACGTTACGCTTTCAAAGCCGTAAGCGAAAGTATTTGATTATTATTCATACCGTTTTAGAGAAAATAAAAAAAATAACATGAAAATATAGTCGAATTTTTTCAAAGTACTAAAAATCAAATGGCGTTTCTATGGTAATATAATTTTGATTTCATTCTTTAATAGATTGTTATAATTAATTTTTATTAACGTGATATTTTTTGCTGTTGTTAAAATATCAAATTTTCTGATAACTATTATCACCCTTTCCCTAGCATTAAACTAAATTAATTTTGTGCTTCTCTAAAATTCTGATACAGCAAAAAATATGTCGTTAATTAAAATTCTAACAATAACAATCTATCAAAGAATGAAAACGATATTATATACCATAGAAACGCGTCTTGATTTTATTTCAAAAAGTATGAACAGAATTAACCATTTTAGGACAAGCAAAAAATTTTATGAAGAACGCATTTCTGTCAAAATGCCAATAATAAAAAAGTTGTTCCTCTTGTAAAGACAATTCGGGGACTGTATATGAAATTTTTATCCGTGTCGATTATCTTTGTTGTTGAGTATAAAAATAAGGTAATAGTCATATATACAACTTTATAAATAAAAGGTAAACTTTTATTGTGAAAATTACATTTTAGGCACGAGAAATCCCCGACGCTAAGCACTCAAGCGTGTGAGGCGAACCTCTGCACTTTCTTTATAAATCTCCATATGGAAAAACTCGTTACGAGCATGTTTCTCTTCCATTGTTATCGTTCGAAATGCAACACAGCCTTTTTGTTGGCTAAATTGGATCTGCTTTCGGTTCCTAGTTTGTTTCGATATCGCAGGAATATCAGACATGAAACAATAAAAACCGAATTAAATTGCATTGTTTTGTGTTTAAAGTTTTCCAATTTTTCATGGTATTTTTAGGATATAGGAAAAAAAAGTCTCTAAATTTTATAAACCATTAATATTAGTAAATACACTAAAATATTCATTTAAAATGGATGCCAATTAGGAAAAAATTTAAATTCACAAAGAAATGCGAATCACACACTGGTAAATTATGTAAATCGTACAGGGATAGTTTTATGTCAGTTTAAATAGAAATATATTTACTTTTTGTGAATCATACGCATTTGGTAAAATTGAAATTAAGATAAATTAATAAATATTAAGATTATTGTTAGTTCCCAGGAGTTAGTACATAGAAAATATTAATTCAAATGAACCTGCAAAGATTCATGGCGATTCCATCTGGCAACATTATGAGACACATACAGACGAACGAACAGAAACTTGGAGTATTTTTGACCCTATTCACACCGATACTAGGTTTATGTCGTACTCACGTACGACTTACGTATGGGGAAATTAAAATAACTTTGAGTGCACATCATAATACCAGCAAACTCCATATATAAGACAACGCATAGTGTCATTGATGACGTGCAGGCATTTGGATTAATATATGCCTGAAGAAGCGACAATAAAGTCGCGAAACGTCGCGTCGCAAAAAAACATAATTGTTTCCTTTCTGGCCTTCCCAAACACCCACTATTTTTTTCTACGTGTTAATAAATATGTGCTGGAATACTAGACGTGAAATAATAAGAGAGTATTATACAAATAGCTTGTTAGTTTGTGATGGTCCGTTGTTCTTGAAGATAGTGGATTACAGTTTTCATGAATGTTAGCTACTTTTTTATAAGTATCCATGACTAAAATTGTCACACTCTGCTTTATTTATGAGATACAGGGAGAAGTTAAAAATATATTATTTTGGAAAACTCTTTGTAACTCGGTATCTCTGTAGTATTTTTACGTAAAAACTGACATAATACAGGGTGGTCCGAACTGCATTACGGAAACTTCGGCAGCATATTCCTCAGAAAAAAGATAAGTAAAAAAGTTCGTATAAATGTATGTCCTAAAATGTTTAGTTTCGGAGATACAGGGTGTATAATATGTATGTTTTATTTTTATTCCGTTTTTTTTTTCGAAATAATTTCTTAA